AAATGGATGAGCTAGCGTGCGTATCCCCACAAATAAGCATGGTCCGCGCTAGCTGGATGGAACAGGGGTGAGGGGACGGAAGACCAGGGGAAGTGAACCCCCGGATTTGACCCGTGACGGTCCGCCTTGGAATAGGCGCCACGTGACACTTCACTGCTCCTCACATTCCTGGACACGTCCTTGAATTACATTTTTGAAAACACTACCACCTAGACATAACAGTGGTTTTTGCCTGCCCGTTCACAGGAGTTTCAAAAACCATCCTTGGCTTTTTGCTAAGGTGTCTATCAAGAAAACAGTCTCGTTCAGTTCGAACAGTGACTCCGGCTTTCCTCCAACGTTTTTCTCACCCATTTCAGTTCAGTTATCCTTGACGGGACCCGATACGCTGATCGCCGGTATTGCAGTTGGCCTAGTTGCCACTGCTCCACTTCTTTCAGGCAGTAAAGTAGGGTGGATGTTGCACAATGAGCTAACCATAAGTACTAGCTAAGACGGGAACTTCAATCTGAGTCAGTGAAGGGACTGAATATGACGACTGGGAAAAAAGAAAGAGAAAGTGATTGCCATTCCCTGCAGTCCTTTTAATCCTTTCCCGCTATGGACAGGAAAATAACTGAAGGATGGAAAGGGTTACGCCAAGAATAGAATAAACTGATGCCCTATCTTCCATATCCTTTTGAAAGCGCAATCCGCGAATTTCGAGTAACGAAATCCGCTCGAGAAAAATTGACTGGTCAGTATGCGATGTAGTTGTACCACTTTGCAATATCAAACTGAAAGGCATGTCCGCCGAGGGCCAAAATTGCTCTTGTGGCTATACTCTGAGCCCGTGAAACCGCTTTAGAGTTGAGGTTATGGGTGGTGTCTGCGTCTCGCTCGTCTCTGTGCTCTCTCACCTCCTTGACGTCTGCTCTCTCTCCTCGACCTCCGACTTTCCTCTTCGTGAGCTCTCGCAGTGTTCAAAATACGTTCTTTTAAAGCCTTTTTTTATTCAACTTTTGATCAGTGGCTGGTCAGTTATCGCCTGAAATTCCATTTTCGGCCACATTTGCATTCGTGCGATTGGCCTTACAGGCCATTCAGCACTACTCAAAGCCTCACCAGTTTTTTTGGATTCGTGAGCGGTCAAAGCGCGAGTAGATCAGCCCTGGCGCTTTGACCGCTCCCCATTAACCCGCGCTATTTTCTTGCTATTCCATCGCTTCGTTGATATACTGCATTACCAAGGAAACTTGATCAGGTACGGAATGCGGCAGTGTGGAAATGGAAAGAAATTGTTGAAAAACTGAATTGATCACCTGGTGAAGTTCCTAGTGGTAATGTCATCTGTCACCGTGTTTAAAGTAAACAGCGGGGTCAAAAATTCAAACAACGCAAAATCGCTCGCTGTTATGATTTATTTTTCACCGATCACCCAACGAGGGAGCTTCATAACAAACCAAATTGGCCTGGAACGAGTAAAGAGGACTGGAGGAGAGACCATTGCATGAGGCTATTGCAGAGCTGAGAGCGTGAAGAATGATACCCTTAGTAAGAAACATAGACCTCGATGGTCCAGAATCAAACCATCACCCACTCCAGCTGGCTGATTCCTGTCCATGAACAGTAATTAAATGTTTCCAGGAACAGACAACGTTTGTACAACGATTGGAGGGTGTAGTAGTGGTTTCTAAATAGCTTTGATGAGTTATCTAAAGAGACACACCACAATCCGATTTGTGTGTTTCTCCTACCCGAAAATGAAGAAAGAATGGGTACCAGGAGATCGTGAGGGAAAAAGAAGCCTGTCAACAACGCCAGAATTAGGGGCTTGCCCATCTTTTGTAATTCGGTCGTGCTTTTGAAGGGTTAATGAGTCATTGAGCCGTGAACGCGAGATAGGCGGGACAGCACTTGCGGAATAGAGGGCGGCCAGGCACCCGCGTGTTGGAATGTAGGAGACACGGAAGCCGTTGAAGCGCTCATAGGGAGACCCTAACGCCCCTGTCGTGTACTTTCAATTTGAAGGACGTGACATATGCCATTTCGCGAACAGCGCTAGCCTACCTGCCGAAAGAATTGATCATTTGAACTCATCATGGGGTGTGCCTTTAAGATTCTTAGATACGCCACTTTCCTGAACCGATATCAGACGAATGGCCCACAGAGGTTACCAAGCCTCTTCTCAGTTCTAGCCAAACAAAGCTCTAACTCTAGCTGAATCATCGTTGCTAACTTCTGGATGCGCCACTTTCAAGTCTCCGCTTTGGAATCGCTAGAGCTACCCAATCATTTGACATCTGCAATGGATTGGGTATATATGATGTATTATTAATAATATTGGTATTATTAATAGTACGTCCTGAGCTCTCGAAGAGGCCTGGAAACGCCTAAACGACGAGTGGGAGACACTGGGTTTGGCTGGCTTAGACCGAGGTTAAATCCTCGAAAAGAAGCGCGCTCGGGACGCGTAAGCATTGAGAAAATGTCTTTCACTACGGTCTCCTATTAGGGGTTTTCCGGTGCATGGCGCAGACTGAACTTTGGCACCCTTAGCTATTACGACGATTGTGCCAAGTTGAATATCATCACATCAAATATTTCCTATCATTTCAGAGCTTCTTATGAATAATGTTTGTTATCACTTGGTAATCGAGTGGGGAAATAGTTTCCATACAATTGCGCGCAAGAAAGATAATTATCGATCGATCCTCACGAGTTGTAATTCCCGAAGATTTACTCACTTCTAGCGGTTTTTTGTCGCTGAAGACCTTTGGGAAGGCGAGGTGGTCATTTGACTGCATGCTGCGCCCTGTATTTGACTTTCGTCCGAAATCTTATCAAGGTCATGCGGCTCAAAAGGCAGGTACAGTGCCTTCTCCCTTCACCAGGGTAGAAATCTTAGAACCTTCAAAAATCTAGGAATCATCTTTTGAAAAATGGCCAAAACAAAAATGGAAAGTACATTTTATTCATCAGACTACTACGACAACTCAAATAATACCTGTACAGCGATATCAATAATTCGCTCCTGAACAAAGGCCACGGGGTTTGAAATGAATAAAGATTAATGTCTTTTCTACACAAGCAGTGGGAACTGTACACAATAAGTGTGGAGGCGTACGTTGAGCAGCACTCAGAGGAAAAGTAGCGCCGTCACGGCTGCGAACAGCGACGAGAGCACCAGCGTGGCGGCCGAATTCGACTTCTGAAAGCGGACAGGGTCTTTAGCGGAGCCAGGAGAATGCGAGCTGGGGCAGTCAACTCACCACTTCCTGTTTGGTGCCGGCTTGAACTCGGTTCTCATCGATATCGCTCGGGGTATCGTCAACGACAATCACAGGTTCCGTTGGTGCAGGCGACGTGATCTCGTTCACGTCCATTCCAATGTCACCCTGAATAATTAGATGACTGCTTGTGGGTCAGAAAAGTGCTCTCAGGTAGACGCCAGACTTTGCGACAGGCGCACAGTCCACACGCTCCTCATGGGCCTCATGGGAACTCACCGGGCCAGAGTCGCCGTGGACCGCGTTGCAGTGCGGAACGAGTCGCAAGTGGCTTTGGTAGCTGTGCTAGGCCTCAGTACACCCGCACTATTATGAAGGCCTGGCTTATTAGAATTGTCTGGCTTTACTCAACTCTAGGGACGACTGTCGAACGCGCGTCTTTCGCAAAGTTTCTGTATGCTTTCCGTCCTCAATTACCCGCAAGCTTCAGGCTGGTAACGGGGTCACGTCCTACTCTGAGGTAATCGCATACTCTTGTGATCTTTATTTGAGGGGCCGTATATCTTAAATCGGGCAGACGACACGGTTAATTTGTTCAGGCAAAGTAATTGAAGGAAAATTTCATAATGGAAGTGCGAAAGTTGAAGAGAGGGAAATATACCTGGTGAAATGTGCCTAATAGGTGTGGGATGAATGGCGTTCAGTAGCGAAGCATTATGCCACGGCGATCTAGCAATGGCCGTTCCGGCGCCAGCTATCGTCCTCGACAACGCGCATACCTCTAAGCCTTAGCAGTTCAGCAGAGAGAGCACGAGCGTTGTTGAGAGCAGTACTGTCACGAGAAATTCGGCAGCACGGAAAATTAAGTTAGGAAGAAGTCTCGGTTTTAGGGATTACATGCCAAATTTCCCAGAGACTTTCTTCTTAGTGGAAATATCATAGCAGTTAAACCAATTTGAAACGTGTTTTTGATTGTTGATTGCTGTTTATGGCCGCAGTTCGCCTCGTGCGAAACCGCCACAAATATGCTGGGTTACGAGCAAAATTTCTGCTCCAGGCGAGACACGAACCGCACTTTCCGAGCGGTCATTTATATTTATCATACTACTTAGAAATCCGTGATTGCTCACCTTGCTCTCCTCATGTGACGTCTCCTTCTCTTCTGCTTCGGTCGCTTCTGCCGAAGGCGTCGTCATCACCACCACTGTCTTCACTTCTCCTTCTTCTTCTTCCTAAACTTTTTATCATGTTGCTTTTGCCCACCTTACAAATATTTATAGAACTCACATCTGGCAGTTCAATGGTAACATGGCCAGTCTCGCCTTCGGCTATGAATCCACCTTCTAGAACGGGCACCACAGTAGTTTGTCCCTTAAACAATGTCAGATTTATATTTGAAGGCTAAAAATATAAAGAAAAATAAGAAGGTCTGTGCACATCGTTTCAGATTAACAGAATGCGGAAATACGATCAGGCGTAAGAAGGTGGTCATCGAGTTCTTCCAATTTTGTGGTCCAATTCCTTTCGCTAATAGACTGATCAACGCCCACAGAACCCCCGAACCCCTCCTGTACACACGCACACAATCTATGAATAAAAAGGCAATTGATTAGAGCTGCTAGGAAGCCGGGGTTGAGCGAGAGAAAGGTGACCCTCCCTGGATGTTGATCGCAAGTGATTTGATTGGAAATAGAGCAGCAAGGCCACCATCACTCACATCGCTGCGAGTGCTGGTCGGGTTCACAGTTTCGGCCGGCTGCTCCTCGACCACTATCGGCGTCGTCTGTAAAAGTAGAATCAGGATGATTGGGGTCGCCTTTCAGCTTTTTTTTTTATTGAAGAATTCATTTTGATAGAAGCTAGGGTGTGTCAGTAAGTTCGAATAGTGCAAAAAGATCGATGGCCATATATTATAGAAGAGGGGTCCCGTTCTCCGCTTTACTCCATACCGGATTAATCTGGCAAGTATAAAGGAAGTTTTCACGATAAGGAAGGAGGTCAAAACAGGAGAAATATATCTAGTGGTGAGGCTGCTGGACCCTGTAAGGGTGCGGAAGGATCGCGTTAAGCAGTGGAGGGTATGCTTGCCAGCGGCCTAGGACAGCCGTACCGGTGACGCTGGCGACACTTCTCGCTGTCGGACTCTAACCGCGGACAGTAGCCGTGTGGTAGGGACGCAGAGGAGAGCGGCGTTCACAACGATGACGTCACTCCTGATGAAACTAGCGGATTCTACGGGCAAAAAGGTCCCATTTCTCAGATTTTCAGCCGTTTCCTTAGTTTTTCTTCATCCCTGCATCATTAACCACTTCTGCCTTGGATTTCAGTGGGCTGCTTTTTTGTCGTGAACTCTGCCTTTAAGTCACGTGTCTGCTATGTGACTCTCGCAGTATCAAAGCCTTGTGAATATTGCTTTTTGCAGGTAAACTATTTGAAGGCGGAGGAGGTGTCGCAGTGGTAAAAGGCGCAGTCGTAACAGGCATGGTCACTGGGTCGAATCCCCTCATGTCAACTGAACCTTCTCTACGTCAGACAGCGCATCTTTTCAGGAACGTGGAACGTACCGCTTCAATGGCTGATCCCTCAAATCGTTGTGTGAAAGAGCGGATTGAACTGATTCTACAACCCATTGTCTAGGAGCAGTGATCATTGTGGACTCCTCTAATCTCCAGAACTTTGGCATTATTCACCCCATTTGGGTTGCGCCACCCCATGGGATTTGATCCAGAATCGTGATGGCATTTGAATGTGTATTCCATCTATGCAAATAATTGTGGGAGCCGGTTGATGCACAAGGTAGAACTTCATGCTCCTAAGAAAAAGTTTTACCAAAAACCCATCCCGAGGTATAAGCGGCCCACAGTTCCGGGCGGGTTTCCATATGGGACCCTACCAAAAGCCATGTGTGTGACAGCGGCGCCACTTTCCACTGCACCATCGCTTTTCATTGGATATTAATCCGCACCTCCATAACGAACTCCACGGTGGCCATTTCTTCGGATTTCTTGAGCTCAACTTCTGCAGTTGTCATCTCTGAAGGAGAAGTTGCGGATGATTCCGTGGAAGATGCTTGAGTTGTGCTGACTTCGGGCTCCAATTCCTTAAAAACTTACTATTTATTCACTTATTTATTTATTTGTTTAGGTGCTCAGAGGCCACTGGGGCAATTTAAGCCAACGTACCTTCTCGAACTCATCAACGTCCTTCAAAAAGGCGCATTCGGTCGGTAAATTCTTCAGGTAGTTCTCGGCCATGAAATGCACAGTGGTGGCATTTTCGTCGGCAGCCGCTGCTGTCAACGTTTCAACTCCACTTCTCACCTGATGCCTAGCCATATCCTGAAATTGAGGAGACTTTCAATAAATTTTCGACTGACATTTTGAAAATGAACGGGTTCACCTTGAAAAGGTCACCGGCACCGGCACATTCCTTGTTGAGGCCCTTTTGAGAGCATCTCATCAGGCAAATTTCCTTCCTGAAAAGTACAGCCGTCACAGTCGTGGGGAGAGAAACCCGAATAGGGAGAGTTTTCAGAGAGAATCGATTTCAATTTCATACTGGGGACTGTGGTGCGATTCAGATGACCTCTACAGTTCCCTTGTTTCCTTCGCTGTTTCGGCGGAGGTAGGCGGAGGTGCGACAATGACTCTCTCCTATCACGCTCAAAGTGCGGGGTTAAATCTCCGACCAGATCTCGGGTCAAGTCTGAGCCTTCCATACCTCCTATATCGGTCGATTTTTACCAGACACGTTTGGTTGATGGCAAATACCCTAATTTTCAAATCAGCTACTGCCGCAGGTGGTTGCATAGGCCTCGCATTCAATTGGCCCTACGATTCGGTTGTGAGTCACCTTTATGGCGCCTTCCAAGAAAAGGGATTCAACTGAAAGCAAATCCTTAATCCTATGTACTCTTTCCATAATTACATATCACCTATTTCTCACTTTATGGTAATAATCTCTCCACCTTAACCTACATATTCTTCCCTTTCCCCTCTCATCTTTACATAACCTTAGGTGAAAAGGTGCTCTCGTAAATGCTCAAGCTTGCTGAAGTGAGAACGCTGGCATGGACCGTTAAACGGGATGGGATTCGGTTAGAAATGCGACTATTGGGCCGATGTCAGACTTTGCGAATCGCGCGATTCACTACTAGCGATTCGCTAGCGTAGCGGTCGCGTTGCGGTACAGCCAATCAAGCGATTCACTGCTCGCGTCAGGGTTACCGTACAGATAATGCAAGGAGGATCATTGTCAGCCCAGCCACTTACAGTCGTTTTGCACAACAAGTGCGCGTACTGAGACATTAAGCTCGACCCTGCTCTCAAAGTCTGCAGAATGACTCATCAGCCAAGACTTGAGGGTTTTCCCTCACACTGCTATCACGCATGAACTCGGCCCTTGTAGCCTTGGTGGGGGGGGGGGTATGCGGGGCCAACCTTCCATGTCAGCTGACAGTGATCGAGGCTGACATTTTGATGTCGTGGGATCAGTTCCCTTGAAGACACGCGAAGAACAGTCAAGAAGGTGTGGACCCTTTTGAGATAGTTTGACCGTTTCCTAAGCATTCCCACTAGCGTAAAAAAGGGCACTTTATATCACAAAAACTCTCTATAAAAGGGAACGATGGCCTGGTAATTCATAGAGGGTCTGCCGTGAGAGACCAGGACTAACTTCTTGGAAAAGTAGGGGCTTGTTTGATGAAATTCTAGGAAAGAAAATCCTTCATGGCTTGAACTCAACGCATGGTTGCTCTGTAACAGCGCTCAGCATCGATCAACACCTCTATAGGATGCGCCACGCCCTCGAATGTCACTCAGAATGCTTCGGTGTTTAGATGCGCTTTGGCACTTTACGACCTACGGTGGGAATACTGCGTACAAATACGCGCTTCAAGTGGAGCTTGGCACTGTTAATCGAATTTTGGTCTAAATTTCTGCGCTAGCTAACCCCTAATCCGCCTTTGCTCACGATCTAGGACGAAGAAAACCTTGTCTGCGCTATTTTTCCCCAGGTCTTTCATTCAGAACGAGATTCCAGGAGGAGCTCTCTCTCGCGGATTTTGGGCGCGTTTTGAATTTTCTCGGCTGAAACTCACTTGCAGATTCCGGCGACGCCGTCAAGGAACACGGCTGGGTTCACGGAAGCGGCAGGTGATGAGTCGAGACGGAATGGCACATCCGTCGGCACTCCGCATTCTGATGCACATGCAGCGGTCACATCTGTGGCTCCGTCCAAACATCCAGATACCAAACGGAATTCTGAAACATTTCTACTCATTTCCCAGAACAAGTTTCCTCTTTGCTGCCTCCCTATCGTCTCTTTCCTTTCTTTCTTCACCGAGAACTCAAAACATCAACCATCTAATTGTTAGTGGCCCCGTTCTACGATGCTTCTAATTGCAGCCAGTATGTATTTCAGTAGCAGCACTGAACACTGGGAGACAGGTTTTTTTCTGGGTAGTCGGTTCTCATGCAAAGGCAATTGTTGGTCACGGTTCAGCGAACTGGCTCATTGCGCGTTGTGGACGACGGCACAAAGTCATTGTTCCCCCGAGGAAAGGCAGCAGAAAATCAGGGAAAACGGTTACTCACGTACCTTCGATTTTGTTACTGCAGATGAACGAACTGGCGTGGGTCCTCGCCTCCAACTCGGCGATCTGCTCAGGCGGACATTCCCGTCCACATTTCAGCAACGCTGAGTTCAAACTGAAAGAAAATAGGAGTTGGAGAAGTATTTTCGGGGTTCAGAGTGATGTGGGCGATCTCCCGTTAGCGCCTTTGCTCGATCTGCCTCGTCACCGGCTTAGCCTTGTTCCTTTTCGAAATGTGAAACGTTCAAGGTTGGCTCTTAACCTTCTGATGGAACGTTCGGCCGATCGCCGAACTGGGTGAGCGTTAGCGGTAAAAACTTCTGATGTCAGACCTCGTCCGCGTCACATGATGGCTGCGATCGTTAGACTGACCCATTGAATATTGGCCTTTGTCCTTCTCGAACTACCGTAATCTGGCTCTGTCCAGGTATAACACGGACGAGCGCGAAACTCGTCCAAGAGGTGGATCATACCTTTTCTAATCTCTTAGTGCTACCCTGCTGCCACGAGGGTTAATGGTGGCGCATCGTCTAAACCCAAGGAGACCACCTAGTACATGCCGTGGGTTAGATCTTTCAGCCGCCCCGACGAGCAGTTCAACCCGCCGCTGTGCGTCTTTGACCAGGGTCCTGCGCGAACACAGACCTAGCCTGCTGCTGACCAACGCGCCTGTTTCCGCCGTCTGACAGAAATAGTAGAGCTGTTCCGAGGGAGCCGAGTAAAAACGACATACTTGAGGTACGAAGTAATCATAGTTCGAAAATACAGAGCACTTTCCGATCCCTGTAAACTCCGGATGCATGCCTGGCAAAACTCAGAAAGACGATCGCAATTGTTTGTTCGGTTTTCGTTATGATGTATCCGCATGAGCACAACTAATCTCATGCGGATGGCCGCGAGGTCAAACACAGCAGCGGTTAATGGGTGCCGAGAATCGCGCTATCCGGGCGCGCGAAATCGAGTAGCCACTTAGGGACGGGGCCTAACGTACCTGCAGAAGTTCTCGATGTCGACGGCGATGCTCTTGAAGTTGAGCAGGTCGAAAGCAGCGTTCACGATGCTTCCCGATTGCGAAACAGCCCTGTAGACATGCGCTTGCCGTCGGAATCACCGGCTGTGGTGGGATCGACGCTCCTGAAAACGGTCGTAGTTACTTTTACCTGGGTTTTGTCAGTCTAGAACGACTTCAGTCCTTTAGAGAAGGTGAGTTCGGCGACTCGATGAGTTTTGACAGGATTCTTCATTGAGGGCGCTAATCTACCCCTCCAATTGCCGCTCCCGGCAGTACCATCACCCTTCAAGAAAAGGGGGAAACAAGGGGGGGGGGGGAGTAGGAGGGGGAGGGGGGGAGGGGGCGAACGGCCCGAGGGGGGGGGAGGAAAGGAAGAGAGGCCATGAATCATTTCTGGACGGCTCTAATGCGTTTCCTCCCTTGTCTCGGGAAATCCCCCCCCCCCCCCCCCGAAAGAACAACCAAATGAAACCGGTGTCGACCCGTCCTACAAACAACATACCATGTGGCAGAGGTCGCAATGAAAGTAATAACCACAGAATCATCGTGATAGGTCTGAAAATGGAACATGAGACGGGGGAAAGACAACGAGAACGGGTAGAGGGGAGCATTTTCGAGGAAAAAAAAACGAATATGAACGGAAGAGAGCGCAACGATTCGCCATCAACGAAGAGCCACAAACATCCTTATATTGGACCCACACAGCAGTTCAGTCGGGGAAAAAACCCGGTCAGTGTTCCATGAGTAGAGAAAAAATGAAAAGTAATCCGTACAACAAGTTAGATAGTGACGCGAATTCGCGTGTGGAACCGTGCCACAGCCGGCGAGAAAAAGCGATCGGAAACCTCGAATTGAGCGCGGCGATTCGGCCAAGGGTGAACACAGCCCGGCCTGTGTCCAGCCACCCGCACACATCAGCTGGGAGTCGCGCCACAGGTGAAGCGACCGGCGAGCGGGAGCCGACGACGCAGGGCGCCCGGTCGGCGCAGAGCTACCCCATGGCTGGTGACAATTCTCGTGTGTTGTACAGTGTATAAGGAAAGTGATGGTGGTCTGGTTACGATCACCCGAGGGGCGGGGCGACTTTTACTCTTTAAGTCTCCACACCACACCTTCCAATACCGGTATTGATTCATCAAAGTGGCACCAACCACCAAAGATGCTCGTCCAGCTCATGGCTATCGTTCCATAGCATAGCTACTGATAGCGCCTGCTGATATCAGTGATTACCACGCGGTCCATAGGGATTATTCCTTCAAGGTGATCGGGCAGGATCCTGACTGATGGACCAATTGCGCGGTACTGTAGCCGGTTTTTGAGTGACTGAAGAATATTGCGAAACAACTGCATTCCGAACCTAACATTCATACAACGTTTTTGGCATGGTGTCAGAATTCCGTTTGCCTCCGAAAATTTAGTTTGTGATGCATTATAGATTCGCGTCCCAAGTCCGTCTAAACTCGTCAGCATTCGGGGAAAAATTTAAACCCTGCAAGGTTACTGAGGATCTACCCTGAAGGTGGAACATCGAGGAACAACGGACCAGCTTGAGCTCAACTTTCATAATTCACTCGTATATCCAAAAACGGCAGGTTTTCACGAAAGAAACTCCATGCTTTTTTTTAGCAAGGGGGTGTTGATTAGTCTCCCATGAATGCGCCACGCAGGAAGTACACTCGAACATGAATCGTGGTGGCATTTGGTAGGTCCGCTCTAATACCTGGTTTCCGTGCTATAAAAACCCTCGACGTTTCGGGAGAAATTCCAAGTGAATTTCTTCGACGCAAAACTTAGCAAATTATCTCCCTTCTCACTATCGGATATCACCAAAGACCGTACGATACACCAAAGCGGTTACATTCCCACAAGCAGGTCTGGTAGGTAGAGCTGTGGATATGCCCAGCGCCATTTACCTCGACTCATTCACTTTGTCGTGGCCATGCGGTGTTGCGAGTAAACTCAATAGGGCAGCAACTGGTGCAGCCAGCCAACTGGCGCTGCTTACCATGCCACGGTCCGGACCACAAGCCTAGATCCTGCACGTTCTACCTAATGGAATTAGTCTGGGGAGGAGGAGGGGAGGGAGAAAACAAATGTTTGTACATCGAATGAACCCCTCGTATCATTGTATGTGGTCCAAATAGCTTAAAATCGCTATTTACTATTCCGATAAGAAGTTTTGCATGCGTGGGAATTCGCCGGAAAGGGTCCGGAAGCAACGCTGATACCCTCAACCCTTTTAATGCATTATATCTCACCACGATGATTGCGTTACCCTGAACCAAATCCATCTAATCCGGTTAAGCTCCGCCCTCTCTCACACGTTCGGTTAAATAGCGCTAGTGCTCAGGAAAACGAGAGTGGAAATGCATTTGCTTGTTTAATATGCATTCATTGCCAGTATTAACTCGAACGAAGCGAACGCGGTGGCGCACTCAAGAATGAGGCTCTTATCCTAGGTTTTTTTATCGCTCTCATTCTCTGTCCGGTCTCTTAATCTACGGTGAACCGGCAGCCCCCGCCACGACCTCGGCCACCTACAGAGTTGCAAGAGGCTCGCTAAGGCTGCTGTCGCCAAGGCGAAGAACACGGAAATGGACGCCTTGTACGAGAAGTTGGAAAGCAGAAACGCAGAGAAGTTCGTCTTCAGGCTGGCTAAGGCCCGGCATCGTGCTACCCAAGACATCAGGGTGGTGAAAAGTGTAAAAGGCAGCGATGGTGTCATCCTAAGGAAGCCAGCCGAAGTCAAGAGGAGGTGGGAAGAGTACTACAGTGCACTTCTGAACGAGGAGTTCCCCCACGAGAACAACTCACGGGCAGAGGCCACAGCTGGTCCCATCGCACTCTGGACTGAGGATGAGGTTAGGTGTGCACTTGGGAGGATGAAGATTGGAAGGCGGTTGGCCCAGATGGGGTGCCAATCGAGGCTTGGAAGGCGCTCGGTGAGTACGGGATAAGATGGCTCACACGATTCCTCAACAACATAACTGCGGAAGGAAGGATGCCAGATGCCTGGAGAACAAGCACTATCGTCCCCATCTTCAAGCAGAAGGGTGACGCGATGGACTGCTCCAACTACCGCGGGATCAAGTTGACTGCTCATACAATGAAGCTGTACGAGCGACTGGTCGACTCGAAACTGCGGGAGCTGGTCCCCATCTCCCAGGAACAGTTCGGGTTCATGCCCGAAAGGTCTACGACGGATGCCATCTTCATCGCAAGGCAAGTGATGGAGAAGTATCGAGAAAAGCGCCGACCCTGCTACCTAGCCTTCCTCGACCTGGAGAAGGCGTTCGACCGGCTACCGCGAGCAGTACTATGGAGAGCGCTTAGGGAACGGAACGTGCCAGAACACCTGATCTCGCTGGTGAAGGACATGTACGATGGGGCTAAGGCAGCCATACGCACCCCACACGGCCTAACGAAGAGGTAAACATCACGGTTGGGGTGCACCAAGGGTCAGCTCTGAGCCGTTCCTCTTCCTCCTAACACTAGATGTCATGGTGAAGGGGCTCATAGGAAGGACCACTAAAGACCATCCTCTACGCTGACGACATCGCCCTGATAGCTGATAGCAGAGAAGAACTACAGGCCAAGGTGCAGAAGTGGCAGAAGGTCCTGGCAGAAGGGGGCTCCGGCTAAATGTCAAGAAGACCAAGTTCCTGAGCTCCGAAGAGAGTGCAGAGCCGATCGTGGATGGACATGGCGAAAGCATCGAAAGAGTGGAGGACTTCCGATACCTTGGGAGTGATCTGGCGGCCGACGGCAGTGTGGACCAGGCAGTAAAGGGGAGGATCAACGCGGCATGGATGAAATGGAGGGAGTCCACTGGAATCCTCTGCGACCGAAGGTGCTCCAGAACGCTCAAAGGGAAGGTGTACCGAACAGTGGTAAGGCCTGCGATGCTCTACGGCAGCGAGTGCTGGCCCCTGAACAAGAACCACGAAAGGCAGCTTCACTCGCCGAAATGAGGATGCTGAGATGGGCCTGCGGCTGGACGCGACTGGACAGGGTCAGGAACGAGGATGTCAGAACGGTCATGCAGACTGCCCCTGTTCAGCTGAAGGTGAGGGAGCAGCGACTGCGGTGGTATGGGCATGTGCTAAGAAGACCACAAGGCCACCCAATAAGGAATGCAATGGACTTCGAAGCGCAAGGCAAGCGACCGCGAGGAGCCCCAAAGAAGAGGTGGAAGGACGTAGTCAAGAAGGACCTAAGCGAAATCATGGCCACTGCAGGGGATGCCCTGGACAGAGCGAAGTGGCGACGACTGATAAGAACAGCGGACCCTGCGACGGCGCGGGACTAACGCTAGGGAGAAGAAGAAGAAGAAGAAGAAGAAGACGGAGCCTTGAGTTGAATGTGGTTGCTCTTCCACTGCCACCTGAAGGCTCCCGCTTTTCTCCATTTGCGAGATCCCGAGAGGCAGTTAGTAACCCCCTATTTTCCATCGATTTGAAGGCTATTGCTTGATATAACGTGCAATCACAAAATGTGGGTTGAGTGCTGGTCTGGTTTTTGAAGGTGCGAAGTGCCACTAAGAAGGCTTGCAGTTTCATTTGCGTTTTTTAAGCTGCGCATACTGTAGATTCAAAATGCAGCGAGAACATGGTTGGCCATACTATTCAAACCTCTCCTGGACTGTTG